GGATCATTATTTGATATACATCCTTAAATACCACAAATAGTAATTAAATTCTAGAATGGATCATTATTTGATATACATCCTTAAATACCACAAATAGTAATTAAATCCCTGCTCATAAGCACATGCACAAACGAAAAGAGCCACAAGCGCACACGCGCGGACACAGAGGTTTAAGGGTTAGGTTAACAGATCAAGTTGCACCAAACAAATGCCAGATGACCTACTATCAGCTTTGTTAATCATCAAAAGTGATGTTAACTGTATGCAACATTTTATCGAATCAGGACAAAGAAGAATTTTCAACCTGATGGATGCTCATCTCATCAAGGCGGATCTGTGCATAAGCTTTATCTTTTGCCAATGCTGTGATGTCACTGTAGATAAAACAGATTATCTTCCTTGAAGAAAAAAACAGCACGACGGTGAAAAAATGGCAAGTAAGAAAAGAAAAGGTACCTTCTAGAATATGTATCCAACAAAGAATCATTGTCGTCAACAATTGGAATTGAACTAACCCGAGCTGTCAAGGTAATAAATAAAATGACATCAGCCCCAAGTAACCGGAACAAACAGATCATCTCTATGCAACAAAAAAGAAAGTATAACCAGAATAATCTAAATACCTGTTATCATTCACAAACAGTAATGGAAGATAAGCAATAATAATGTAAATGAAAAAAATTTGTGTGTGTGTGTGGGGGGGGGGGGGGGGGGGGAGAGCGGCACACAATATGGAACATGCATCACTTAATTAAGGAAACATGACCTTAAGTACACTCTTGGCTACTTTGGAAAGGATTTGTAGCCATACCCTTCCCTTCCAAGTTCATAGTTCACCATACATGTGAACAATTCAATTCCTAAAGTTCATTCGCATCAACTAAAAGTATCTAAAAAAACCAAGTAACTAAAGTTCTTTTGCTCATGAATCGATCAAGCTATATGTAGGCACTCACGTCTTCCTCCACATGCATAGACACTGGATATACTTTAAAGATGAAAAAATAACATAAACTAAGCGTCAACAGATAATATTTACATCAGTGAAATATTTCAAAGAGGAATAGCTCATAGACAACAAGGATTTCAATAGAGAGAGAGAGAGAGAGCAGACAAAATGAAGAAAACAATGTTCAAACAGAACAAAACTTGCATGCATACTTATTCAAAATGGAAAGCAAAAAAAAAAAGAAATAAATAAAATAAAATATAAAACCATCAACTATCTATTTCATGACTGTTTCAAATGATATATATAGCAGACAAACATACTGACATCAATATGATGTAAACCAAAAGTTGCAGGTTGAGTAATTAGCATTTAGGGAATTCACCTAAAGCAGAAAAGCTACCATGAAATTAACAAAGCTAAGGCAGATCAAAAGCTATGTAGAGAAACAAGGGTCAAAAAAGAGAAGCAGAGCAAAAAAATGGTCTAAACTACTTAATATGAATATTTTTTCAAAGAAACGATATCCACAGCTAAGTATTTATTTTTTGGATATCCACAGCTAAGTATTTATTTTTTGGAGAAACGGTACCAGCATATAAGAATTTATTTTCACGATGGGGTCAAAAAGACAGGTGCAGAGGAAAGTAATATTCAGAGTCAAGACTTTAGATACTAAATCAAAAGAAACATTACAAGTTATTGCTACTATTACTAGTTGTCCAATTAGGATCTATAGCACTCAGCAAGAAAGCAGAGACTCCACCTTGAACTAGCAAATCTAAGGCGGATCCAAGTGAGGCATTTGGTCGCAGCATGGCCAGTGGGCGACCATTTGTTTCCCCAATTCTAGGAATCCATGTACCCAAGGGGATCGTGCATATTGGTTGCTGTAAAACAGGCAAATAAGTAGAAGAATGTCTAAAGTGCCTGCAAATAACTGAAATAAGTAAATAGGATGATAAGAATTATATTAGACCATGGCTAAAACAAAAACTGAAAAACAAACATTGCTAAGCAAGATCAGGCATTTCTTACATTTTAGTATTTCTGAAAGGGACGCAATATGCAATAACTGTGGAAATGATCCGTCTTGTGATGGAGAATGGATAACAGGAACTGTGGCCACACCTTTCTGCAATAACTTTACAGCTACATCTTTCAATGAATCATAGGCACCAACCTGCAGAAAACAAAAGCTTTAGTGACACTAGCTGCCTAGCGCATGACGGCACTCTCAAGATGCTAAAAGAAGAGGACATGTTCAACACTCTGCATTCACAAGATAATCACAAAAGAACAAAGAAAATGCAGGACAAAGTTATTTTATTATCATCGTGCTTACAGAGTGCTTACAGAAACCAGGAGCCATGGTTACATTACATCCAGTATATCTGACAAAGGTCTAACTGAATATGTTAAGCCCTGGAAGCATAATTTCATGCAGCTATCATTCTCGATATTGATGTTTCAAGTAGTAGCTGTTTTATTAATTCAAAATCCTGTATTGCGGAGATATCGGACAATGACATGGGAAACTGGCAGTAATTCCTAGAAATCACTATGCTGCTTGCTGCTTTTGGTAGTTAAACGACTCAGAAACCAGATTCAAGCAATATCTATGTTTAATCAAACTGGACTTTTCAGCTTTAGTTGCATACTTGCACAAGGTAAATCTAGATCTGAAACATTGAACGAAAATCAGACAAGCTTATTCTTATTCAAACAAAGAAAAATTGATCAAAACTAGTCCATTCTTAGGCTGACTTCCACATACAGGTAAAAGGTTAGAAGGAAGGTCATTATATTGAAGATGGTTAGGCCTCTTACATGTTTTCTCTGCTAAATTGTTTTGTTTTTAAGATTTAAATTCAAATAAGGTTTGGAAAACTCATTTTTAATATGCGCCTGACTGGGCTAGACATAAGTGTGGTTTGGAGTCTTTGGACAACTTGGTCTTGATACTTGACATGATAATCTTGTAGTTTTTCCAAAAAAAAAAAGCATTAAAAGCTTCTTTATGATATAGTTACAAGGCTTCCTCCAATATGGTTCATTTCATCCGTATACTTGTTTTCTGGGCACCCTCAACCTCTACCAGTCTTCAGTATACTCTCATGAATGCTGATCAAAAAATTTAGCAAAGAGTTGAGAAATGAAGAAGAAACCAGTGTAGTTTCTCATAGTACGGGCAATCAGCCCAATGTCCCCAGGTTCCACATGCCTAATGGCCGCCTCCGTAATTTCTTAACGGTACTTTATGCCTCTACCAGATGAATAGAGCTGGGAACCTGATAATCTAGAAACTCATACATAAGTTGTTATATGGCGGGGGGAACAAAGTTAATATTAACTTTAAGACCGGCAATTAATCAAATCATATACAAATTACACCGAAGAAAGTCAAAGTTTTGCAGTCTAGCACAGAACATGAAAGTTAAATGCATCATAAACTGGTCACTGTAAAAACTTAAACTTGCATAACTGTAACAAAGGTATTGCTTCATCATCCAAAACCACTTACATGAACTAAACACTTTTCAGCAGGTCTACCATGCTCATTTACTTGTCCGTAAAGTAGTTGTCTTCCTTCTTTCCAAGCTGATATTGTGTGTGTCTCGAGCTCCTCTTGTGTTAGATTTGCTCCATTCCCAAGCTGAGGTACAAGCACATCACATAAACATGCGGAGGAGTGTTGAAAGGAAACAAAGACTCTTTAGGTGACACTGTCGTGCAAGTTTTCCATAAAATATATTCTCCGAAGTTGACAGAATATTAGAAAAAAATACTTTCACTCTATACTTGATGCCTGGCTCCAGCAAAACAAGAATAAAGTTGACACTGCTCACTATGACACTATCTATAAACAAAATATAGTGAAAGCTCAGACATCTTAGATGAAAATTTTGGCGGCTACAACTGCCAATGTCATAGATATTGTTTGAGTACTTAAATCTTAATCAGCACCCTCTTGGAATTTCAACTTCAACAATTCAGATCAGTTTCTTTTCTGAGTATCAGCGCAAAAGTTTGTAAATATGTCCATGACTGTCCTTCACAAACTCCACTATCTATACTAGATGCCCATACAATCTACTAGACAAGTGGAGAAAGAATAGAGAAAACAAAAAGAAAAAAAGAAATGCCAATGAATTAAACAATGTACTTAAAGGAGTCTCTAGACATTAAAAGGAGCATGAATACACTTGATCTGCAATTGATTATATTTTACAAAGTTGTTAGTTCTCTTGCCAGGTACGCATAACCTTGCTCTTTCCATTAAACAATTTAGAGTTCTTTTTCTTTCAATAAGTAGTAAACTGTGATGTTTAATAAATTGACGGATGAAGTAACGATAACACCATTATTTTTTAACAGTTACAAAGGCTTGTATTATGGTCCTTAGCAATTAGCATTATTGTTTTTTTAAAGAAAATTGAAGTCAAGCAGCTGAGATGAGGGTTTCAATTTAAGAAACAAAAAGATCATAGTTCCGCCTACACGTTATTCTTCGAAGTTTTTCAATAGAAATCTTCTCAATATGAAACGTAGAATGAGATTTCAAAAAATAAAACTAAAAAATAAAAAAATGCAATCTCCATACCTCTCTCAGAATTAATATGAAGTCCAACGGACTGAGCACTCCAACATATTGTCCCTTGTAAGAATCCCACAAAGGAGCCACAGGAATTCCCTGAAAACATAATAATTTCAGAGGCAAAACAAATTGCAAGTACTTAAAAAAATTGTATCGGATTATAAGAAAAATAAAAAATGTGAGCCCAAATAGACTGTTATCAACTTTATTCTACAAAAAAAAGGTGCTTCCAAACATACAGCATGGCAGGAAATTTGAAATTCACTCTAGTGACTAATTGGTGGTTGAATCTAGTTTTTTTTTTTCTTTTTCAAAACAAGAATATCCTGGCTTCTTTGAACACCTGCCTAATCCCTTGAGCATGTAGGCATCCCTCCACCACGCACCAGATCAACTATCATGGAAAAATCCATTCCAAATCCTCCATTGCACAAGGTTTAAGCTGGTTGATAATCTTTCCCAAGTTTGATTTGGAAAACTCTAAACTGAGAAGGCGAAAGTACTGCAAAGGAATCCCACTTGACATCAATCCAGGAAGTGGATGTTTCCCAGTAAAAGGCACTCATGCGTAAGGATTTGGTTTGAAGTAGACCCATGAAAGTCAATTTGTGGGTTGTTCAATCCTACCCGTTTATAATGCAATTTTAGTTGACTCAACAAGAACTAAGATAGAGATTGCATAAAAATTTCTGAATGAATTGCAAGATGAGGTTTGCTGCTGCAAATGGAATTCTCCCGGAATCATGAATACTATATCAAATGCATTCCCTTGATGGTGGATAGTTCTAAAATTAAGCACAGCCTAAACAAGAACAGATTGCTAAAAATTAGCATCAAAACACCAAGTAATGCAAGCATGCCCAGAAGCAAAGAACAAAGATAATAGAAGACATAATCTAAAGGGTTCATCCCATGGTCACCATGTTAGCAGGATGCTATGGCAAGAGAAAAAATGGGTACATAGCTACTGCTCAAATATGAATACTGGACTAGGCATCATTGGACACTTTAAATAGAATGACAACTGGTGCATGAACTTGAATCAATTGGTTCTTCGCATGGTCAACTAGAGGTAACTCGACAAGAGGATTTCCACCATTCTAAACCAATAAACAAATGAAGATGGAATTTCATAATGTACCTTGCCGCTGACTGTCTGATATATTTCTGAATCGGAATATATTGATTTTATTTCTGATATAATATGACAACTAATATTCTTCTCTATCCAAAAAGTATTTTTTTACAACTCACGTTTACAATATATATCATCAAAATAACATCCTTTCAGCTCCAACTATCACAATTTCTAATCTATTTTATGGTATTTGGATTTTGCAATGTCTTTGATCCATGGTAGTGAAAACTTTACAATTAATAACATAGATTAGGTAACTGAATCCCTTTTGATAGAAAACATGTGATGAAGGTCTAAGCATCAGCCAGAACAGGAGATTGACTTAAAACTTATCATAATTGCCTAAACAAATTTAAAATACAAGAATGGACATATTACTCAAAAAATACTGCAGACACAGGAAAAGATTATTTTCAAACTAAAAAGAAAAACCAGCAGGGAAAATGTCATCACTTCAAATGTGTATCTCACGGACATACCTGCTCATATAGAATATGAAAAGCTTGCTTCACAGGTAAATTCACATCAAGAGCAATGACCTGAAAATGGACAACTGGATTGAATCAACCAACGTGTGGTACAAGGACAAAATTTCAAAATAACATATTGACTGTTAAAGCTACTTAAAGAACAACCCATACCTTTCCCGATTCTGGAAGCAACTCATAAGCAGTATGTGTTGACAAAATAGCAGATATACGATGGCGAGAGATCTCCACATCAGCCTCTGAACTCCTCATAGTTACCTCCTGCATGGCACCGCCTGACACTGTGACCTGCTTGGTACAAAATATCCTCTATTATGAAAAGCCAGAAGTAACCCAGTACACAAAATAAATGAAAGCTATCCAAAGCACAAAAGTAAATGAAGGCTTCAAGCTACATAACTATGCTAGACATCCAAATAACGTCGCTGGGAAAAAGCGCACATCCAGAGGTTGAAGCAAATATCATGAGAAGAAACCACCCAAATCATCCTAAGCTAACACAGGAAGGTCATTTAAACCTATACAGAGTTTCAGCCAGTGAAGTGTAAATAGAGGAAAAGCACCCGAAAATGAAGTCTGAAATAGGAAAGAGGCATTGGACTTTTGACCAATTGCCAAGAATGGATAGGCTGCCAGTGAAAAATAGAAAAATAAGCTGAATGGCAATATTTGCTTGAGAGGATTTGTCATTGTAAAACAGATATATTAAGGTAAAGGCTTCATTTACCCAAGCAGAGGTAGTTGGACTAAGCATGATATAAATAGCTATATTTTACGAAGTAAACCAACAAATCACACCTCACTGTAGAGTTGAGAAATAAAAAAAATTTGAACCACACGTAGAAGATGGGAAAAGTTATAAACCTCTTGTTAACTATCTTAAAGAAAGATGCAGCATCATGCTTAAAAACAGAACTATGCTAATGGATCGTATAGATCAACAGGCTTTATCTCTTAGCTGAATGTTTTGTTGGTGAAGGTACAGTGGTGGATCTTTTTTCTTTCTCCTTTTTTTTTTTTTTGTGGGGGGGGTTTATTTTGTTTTGAATAAATTCAAAGTAGAACATATAAAAAACAATACAGACATTGTATACCATGATTATATCTCAAGTCTTGACCACACAAAGCAACGATCTTGCAATAACTTTTCTCATCCATTCTTATATTTGTTTCTAAATATTTAGGTTAGTAATCCTTAAATCCACTGCTAAGGTGGCTATCTAAGTATGGCTGTTCCTTAAATACATTTGTTAGTAGTCCTTAAATCCACTGCTGAGGTGGCTATCTAAGCATGGCTGTTCCTCAATTACATTGTAGTTTTCATCTTGCTTCTGAGCTAAAGCTGATGCTTTCTGTGTAGCACTCGGTTACACTATATGATATTTGGTACATGTCTTACCAGCAAAACCTTGCAATTATCTGTTTGAATTACCAGCAAAACCTTGCAATTATCTGTTTGAATTAATTACCAGCAAAACCTTGCAATTATCTGTTTGAATTACCAGCAAAACCTTGCAATTATCTGTTTGAATTACCAGCAAAACCTTGCAATTAGTTATCTGTTTGAATTACCAGCAAAACCTTGCAATTATCTGTTTGAATTACCAGCAAAACCTTGCAATTAGCTGTTAGATTCAAACTGAAAGACAGACATAGAAATACTTATCGAACTAAAGAAGATGAGTAAAAGCACTGTACCATTTACTTGACTATTTTTACAAGATGCCATGGCACTTCAATCATGAAACATATGTAAGTGAACACTAATAATATATCAGCATAAAGAGAGACACGCATTCCCATAACACTGGATCCATTTTGATGAAGGTAGATAAAGATGAATTAAACATATGCATTTTCCAAGATATATAAACTACATTGACATCCACTGCATGTTTATAGAAGTATTTCTTTAAAAAGCACATATACATACAGCGGAGTGAGCAACAAAGACCTAAATTATGGATGGTATCTTACCACGCGCTGAAAGACTTCATTGTCTACATCCATATTCATCCTACTACCAGGTGTCCTGGGGCTCAAATTTGGTGGAACAAGATCAGGCTCCCTGGTCAAGACTAAAGTGTTCACTATTCCATAATTCCCTGTCACATGAGGTTGGTGCTCATCATGCCTCCACTCCCCGTCAACATAGAACTTGTACTGGATGGTTGAAAAATCAAATAAGGATCCATAATATTATACTTTATTGCCCTACTTTAACATCTTGCAAATGTTCAATAAGAACAAAGTAAACGAAAGCATTCTTTGGAAAGAAAGGCTAAGTATGGCATGCACTGAGGCAGAATATACCTGATGAAAACCAGGAGGCACGCCACATATTACCTGGAAAACATTAGGGCAACCCTCCACAGGAGACATTGCTACAGGTTCAGACCACCTAAAACAAGAAGGCTAATAATGCATCAGCTCAAAGATTAAATTTGTGCCAAGTATTATAAAAAAAATAAATCACAAATAGACAAGATAGTAAACAAGTTTGATCCACAGCAGATGATATATTCACCTATATGAAACAGGATATGTTCATGCGGTCAGCTATGGTTAGTACTTGTTTGAGATATAGCATGCTTCTTTAGAATTATGAGACTCAAGATTGTGCGAGTCAGATGCACCTGACATGGTAGTTGGACACTTAGACTCACTTGATATTGACATTAACAGAAGAAACTCTGTGTCTATGTACGCACTATATGTTGCAAAGTGAACAAAGAAATAACGAAGTCCCCTTCATCGATCATTTACTCTAATGGTATGTCTAGTACACTTAGACATCTTACTACTACATAGAACAATTATAAACTGACTAGCTTCTTCACCGTTCAATAACCTCTCTCGCTCATTAATGTCAGTATGCCAACAAGGTCTTTGCTATGAAATTGTTCGCGATAATATACATCCAAAGTTCTTAGGTTTTTCCCTTCTTTTAATGTGTTGTACTGCAGCATCAGAGATCTCACGCGTAAATACATGTTTTGTATACAATTTGCAAAAAGTATTCTCAAATTATACTTGGACCACAAAAATAAACCGGCAGTATTATGAATCACGATACATTTGCCCACCACATGCATGCAGGGGCGAAGCTAGCTTGGGCCTAATGGGTCCCCCCCCACACACACACACCACCACCACCACACCAAAAAAAATGGAAACTTATAGGGGAATGGTGTTTAAAGTTGATGAACAAGAAAAAAAAGTAACAGAGAAAGAATGAAACATCTACATGAGTAACTAGTTAAAAGAAAATGAGAGTTAATGTAAGGTGTTATTGAGTTGAAGAGGAGGTGTATAGAAAAAAGAATGAATTGTGCACATAATTGATGTATTTTAAAAAGAGAAATGGTGATAGACAAGCTTTAATTTGGCAAGGTCTTATCATTTTCACTTCTCACAATGCAACTTATTCAACAATTCCCTTTTTTTTTCCTTGGTATTATGAAAACTCCAATACTTCTATTACACAGCTTGGACATTCCTCACAGCGAGATGCAAATCTTATCAGATACTCAAAGACTAAATTCCAATACTTCTAATTAATTAACCATTTCATGATTAATAAATAAGAAATAGAGAAGGCTAAATTCCATAAAACTATGATAAACTCTTGGTTGTTCTGTAGTTCTGTACAAAACTATCATTATTTTCTTATTAAAAAACGCATGTCATGGACACTTAAAAGTACCATATTACTTGCTTTTTGCTTGACACATGTTGAATGTTTTCCCCAGTATGACCCTTGTAAAGTTTGTGATTGGAAAATATGACATACAGACGGTTTAGATATTTTATTCAAAACAATAACTATGTTGGTTGTGATATCTCAAATAGTTTAACAATATTGTCTTTAATGATATTGTCACTTAACAAGCCTATCGACCGTATGCAAAGACAGACTGGTTCCATCGTTGAAGCTAGAAAGATATGAAAGAGTTAGTGTTACGTAAATTAATTTCGAAAACTCTAAAATTACAAGTTGTGTTTAATTTTTTGGATCCCCCTTATCAAAATTCCTCGCTCCGCCACTGAATGCATGCCTATATGGAAAATGATATCAGCAATCTCTGAGCATCTTCTTTAAATACGTACTCTACTATCACTCACACAGTTATCATTCGTATCTCGTCTATAATCCATGACAAAATCAAGTAAACAGTATCGTGGTCGGCATTTTAGAGATGACTTTATTTTTCTATGTAAAAGGTCAAGTATTTTTTTAAATACAGAGTCCACATACATAATGAAGAACATATTGGAGTGCACATTTTTCATAAATCAGTTTAACAACTCTACATAAGCAAGCACTATAATGGAGTTTCATTTTAACTTGAGCAGTCAACAAATTGTATGAGAATAGTTGTTAGTAGCCAATCCAATTTCCATACATATGGGTATTATATCAAGCTACTTTGATCAAATTTATTCATGAAACCTCTCCTTCATGATGGTAACAAAACTCTACCACAAAGTATATTTTCAAAACACCTACGGGTATTGTATTTCACTAGTATAATCAAAAGAATGGATTAGAATGGTTATTGATAGCCAATACAATGGGTGTCCATATGGGATAATTTTATATCATGTTACTATGTTTAGACTTTAGATTTATGCTTGAAACCTCTCCTTCATGATGACATCAAAACTATGCCACGAACTACATGACAAAAGATTATGAAAATTATACAGTATCAAGTTGTATTTCCCATGTATAATCAACGGAATGCATGATAATGGTTGTTGGTGGCTAGTCGAATGGCCATGCATATGGATATAATATAAAATGACTTAGTTTAGATTCATGCCTGAAGCTACTCTGCCTCATGATGATACCAAAAGTAGAAACTATATTTCGAAAGATCAAATATAAATGTAGGGTAAATTGCATATAAGCCCCTCTCATCCATACTTCAATAGTGGTGGTCACCCCTCCACTATATTATGTTTCATTAGCATTTAAAACCCTATAAATGGTATTTTTTTAAAAATAATTTGCAGATAACCCACTATCCCACATTGTTTTAGGGTAGCTAAGTGCTACTAAAGATAGAGATGATGAGGGCCATCAGCAATTTACCCAAAAATCTATGGATGAAATGGCATTCATATTCTATCTAGGCCATGCAACACGAAACTCTGCAACATTTCTTGCTTTCTAGCTACAAGTGTAAAATGGAACAAAAGAACAAATATGTTGTAAATGAAACAAAACTAAAAACCAACCTTGTAAAAGTGCCAGAGACGAAAACTCTACGCCCTCCATAAGGCCAGACCAACCTCGTTGGAATAAGCACAACTCCACTTGTATCCTGATGAGAATCCGACCCCGAGAAAAACATTTGCTCCAAGTTTATCAAAATTCAAAGCACTACTTCAACTATTATTTTCTATTTTTTGACTCATCCCCCGACTCAAACACCCAGTTCCGACCCCAATTCTTCAGCTCCGCATAATACCTCATGGAATGAAGAACAGGAGTCCCATTAAATCCCAAATGAAACCCCAACCCTAATTTAAGCTTCCTGTAGCAACGGGTCCTGTTCAACCAGAGGATCCTCAATGGATGCTCATCTGATCTAAAAATAGTTAGAAAAACCCTAATTCGTCCCCAATTTTAGCAATCCACCTTAAAAAATCCAATCTTTCCACCAAAATAATCCCCTACATACCACTGCAACTTCCCCTAATTTTAGACCTCTAAACAAATCATTATAAGAATCTAAATAAAAAATACAAATCCAACCTCGAAACCCTAATTCGACGCCAAGACAGTCACTAAACGAAAATTTTGCGGCGAAAATACACCGATGCCGAGCGATCGAAGATTTGGATCGCAAATTTATCGAAGGAAATGGTAGAAGACGAGGGAGAGGAATTAAAGGAAAAAGAGGAAATTTTTAAAAAGGGAGAAAAATAATTGGGTCCGTTCCTCGAATTTTATATCGCCTTGCGTCTCGGCACGTGGGATGCACTCGTAGGGGGAAAAAATTAGAAATTTATTAGATCATGAGCTTTGTTTTTACTGCAAGTTTGTATTAAAAGTTCACTTGATGAGTCATAGGCTCGATGCTCAGATTTATGAAAAATGTCTTAAATGGATGTGACACGTAAGATATCTCTTTTCTATTACATAATAAGTTAGCATGTCCTTTCTAATTGTCTCATATTTTCAGGGACCATATTTTTGGTCCGTGTAACAGCGCTCAGGGAGTCATATTAAAAGCTTGTAACTTTTCGGATCATCTATAGTGAGTCCATCTTTCCAAGTATTTAGGAGGTGAAGTTAATTCACCGTAGTTCCCCTTGGTTCACCACCTAATAATATAAAATTTGTTACCCCCCAAATTAGGGTATAACCAAGGGGAAGGGAACTCACTTTCCTTCCCTTCCCTTCTCTTAGTTTCCCTTAACTTCCCTTCACCCCTTACAAATCCAAACAGGCTCTTAGTAAAAAGTTACTCTGAGAGAGTAAAATAGTAATCTTAAATTCACGGTCGACTGAAAATAAATAAAGAGAAGTGATAATCATACCAAAATTTTTAGTGCTACTTTGATATTACAAACTGCAAATATAAAGATTAAAAAGTGGCTCACCACCTTCTTATTACAAATTGCAAGAAATGACCCCGAATTCATTAGTGGTAGTACAAAAATAGTACAAAAGTTGTGGTACAACTAGCATTATCCATAAATACAAACTTCTTTGGGAGATTAGTAACATATTCCCAAACAAAATACACGAGCAACTGGTTCTCAAAACGTAAGTTGATTAGAGACGTTGTCGTATATCCGCAGGATCTCACCGCTCCTAACACAGATCTCGTTTCCTGAACCGGAAAGTTTCAGTCCTCGCTTCCATAAAATTCTCGACCTTCGCCCGATTATGCAGATAGATCCCCAACAGCTCTGTTGATGATAAAATACACCCTTTGCGTGTTATTTGTCCGAGCAAGGATGGACCTGGGTAGATATTTTCCCTTAAAAACAAATTTCCGGACATTTTCCCTTAAAAACAAATTTCCGGACACGAGGTACTTCTTGAGGGGGGAATAAAAGTCCAGCCGTGACCGAGCTCCAACCGCATTAATAGAACAAAAGCGAACAAAAGCCGCAATTGAGCGATCGTCCAGAATTAACCAATAAAATTAACCAATAGGGGGACAAGTGAGGTGTCTCCCTCCTATTGGATAATGAGTTTGTCATCATTAATGATGGTCAACTCATTATCCGAAGGCACCTCACTTGTCCCTTTTATTGGTCCCATATTTTAGATCCTTGTAACAAAACTCTTAACATTGTACAACGGCCTCTATGCCTTCGTGAATATCAAAAGCAACACACATGAATATGAATGCTTCACCATAGAATTAACTGAACGTGACTACTCTTTCACAAGTTCAGGCTCTCTCTAACAAGAACCAAAAAGTAATGTATTTTGTACAGCTGCATGCAATTATATGTACAATTCAGGCCTGAATACCACTTAAAATTATATATAACTGCTGTGCTAAGGCAGAAGTACAAACTTTTCTGGTAGCTAATCTCATCATTTCAAACCAACGTTTCCCAGGAATTTGAATGCAACCACCAAAAACATGAAACAGTGTGTAATCATGAATAACCCCCATCGTTAGGTGCTAGTTGGGGTTCAAAAACTAGTGATGGTAGCCTGTAAAGGGTGGAAAAAGGGGAAAAAAGGGAAAAAGTTAAAAGCCAAGTGGGATATTCCTTTGCCAAAATTGTATGTATCGATCATGCGAGATATTTGTAGACGTTAGGGTTGTCCTTCTCCCTTTCAAGATAATCTCTGGTGATGAGGTCTTCTATTCTTTTCTTGATTGCCTTGAAGTCGGGCTACAATAAAATAAAATAAAGACAAAATCAAAATAATCAATATAAGAAGCTTTAACAGGCAACTAAGCGCCTTAAAAGACATCAAGAGAGAATGCAAGTAAACACCTTGAACATGCGGCTAAGCTGCTCAACACATTCCGTTACCAACTGCTGATGATTCAAAACTTTGCGGGACTTCATAATTCGCACAATTGAGGCATCAATAGCATATCTTCGATCTTTATCAACATCTTCGATTACCTTCTTTTTCTCATCCACTGGGGGTAGAGGAATCTGCAAATTTTAGAATAATCTGCATTAGCAAATGAAGATGAAAGCAAAACACACTACAAGAATAAATAAAATATACAGACCTTGATCCTTCTCATTTTATCAGTGAACTTGGAGTTGAACTCAAAATGATCAGTCTTGGTGATGGATTTGGTATTTGGCTCTTTGTTAAGAATCTTGTATTTTGCGCAAGAAAGAGAGTGAAGTAGTCTGATCACGTCATCGTCTGACAAGTTCAGCTGAGCCATAATCTCAGAATAACTCAACCTATCTGAGTTATTAAAAAGCAACAATGCTGCAGCCTGCAAACAAAACTTTTTACGCTCAACAACCCACAAGTGTCGGCTAAATAGACTGCTTATTTTTACTGAAAATAGCATGTCCGGACCTGATAAGTCGTGACAACCAGCTCGATATTCTTGGCTTCAAACTTCCCGAGAATATGACAAGTACCCAATGAGTATATCCATGTGAGCTTTCTGTGCTTGGTTTTTGTTTGATAGAACTCCTTGAAAACTTCAATACATTTAGTCTACGACACAGTAACTGGAAAAGTTAGATACTGCCACAGCTAGAGTATAACTATATCATATAGAGGAAAAGGATTAGACCAATTACCTAATAAAAATACAATACAAACGACAATAAGAGCAGTGATAACTAGACTTCAAATTCCAAACTACATTTGTACAACTAGAAATAGAAGCGCGGGGTCCTTTTTGACATGTCAATATCAATAGCTATTCAAGAGGAAGGACCCCATACTTATGTTTTTAGTAGTTCAAAGTTCAAACATAGTTTAGGTTCGTAGACTAGTTGCTATTATCCTGACAAATATAAGACTAATTTTAGCAGTCAAATTAAACACACACACATGTAGAGAGAGCGCAAAATGGAGCAATTTGGTACCAAGCACAAGTTTTTGTGCTTGGTACCAAGTTCCTACATTTTTCTCATGATGTGTGTGGGTAGAGAGAGAGAGATTAATGGGTATCCTTGTGAAGGAGGGGATTTTGGCACAATTCCCACCATGGGAATAAAGTAGGAGAGAGAATTTGCCTTGGTGGAGATTGTGCCACATAGGAGTCAAGGAGGAAAATCCCCTCCTTGACAATGATACCCAATAATCACACCAAGTTTGGGGTGAATCCGTCGTCGTTTGACCCTCCATCGAGCCATGTGAAAAGTTCTATTTATTTAAAACCGTTAAAATTGATACGAGTGGATGAAGGGTCAAACGGCGATGGGTTCACCCCAAACTAGGTGTGTTAGGGTTTTAGAATATGTAGATCAAGTTCAACGGAGCGGATCATCAATAATGTCGCTCAATCATGTGATTTTGAAATATGAGTATGCTTGGTAGTGAGGTGGCACAATCCCCTCCACTCATTCAAATGGGGGACCACATTCACATGGGTTGAGGAGTGCATGGGGATATACAACCATTTGAATGAGTGGAGGGGATTATGCCACATCACTACCAAGCACAAATTTTGTGCTTGGTAGTGAGGTGTCATATTCTCATCCACTCATTCCAATTCCCAACCACTCCCCAACCCATGTGAATGTGGACCCCGATTTCAATGAGTGGAAGGGAATATGTCACCTCACTATCAAGCACAAAAACTTGTGCTTGGTACCACGCATACTCATTTTTTCTCTATATATATACATATATATATACATATATGTATGCATATATACACATACATATACGTATATGTATATATACATATACGTATATGTATATGTATATATACATATACATATACATATACATATACATATACGTGTGTGTATAATGCGGAGCACCTGCTAGAGGAGAAACCCAGAAGGTTCTTCCCTACTTATTATCGTTTTATCATCATTGGTCACTCTCTCTTCTCTCTAGAACACCATTCTGGCGCAAAGTGAGTATAGCATGGGTACCTTTTATAAACAACACAGACCATCTATATTCACTTGACATCTAAAGAACCATAAATAGGATGTATAAATTGTAGAGTACATTGGACTTATAATACATAAGACGTTTGAATTGGAAACATTTCTTACCATCTCCGCAGGAAGGCTGAGGTCAAAAGATTTATAGGTTGGCCAGAATCCAGTAGTCAAGACATTAACAGTTAAGTCAATTCCCGGATTTACGTTTTTATTATCCCTAAGATACTCCTCAAAGTTGGTTTGGTTCTCTTTTGCCAAGGTCAAATCTGTAACCTGGTAGGATAAAGAGTATATATAAACATCATGAATCAAACCAATTAACACCAATTAACAACATAAGTTAGAATCGCAGACCATTCCCTCCATCTTGGAGGTAAATTGCCCTCCACACTGCTGCTTCAGCTTTGTTAATATACTCCTTTCATGCTCATCATTTGCACTTTTGTCAAACAGCAACCTCCGAGCAAGTTTTTTCCTGTATATTAATACAAAGGCAAATCAATCTACTTTGGTGCATAAACAGATCACAGTAAAGCTGGAATAGAGCAAAAAATTATTTATGATGCATAGTAATACATCAGATAATTCTACACAGAAATTTTTACCTATAAAATTCTGCAAAGAAATCTTTGTCGCTAATATATGCAAGCAGCTTAACCACCTGTACAATTTTCAATTTCTCATGGGCATGAGTTCAAACAAACACATGCAAAAGTTAAAGAAGAGACGTAGTATTCAGTAAACAAAAGTTACCTTCTCGAGGGTCTCTTCAATGGCTTCGTCGCTTAATTTCTCATTCCCACCCTTCTTAAGTATATTATCACAGAAGGAAGCCAGCAACTCAGCGCTTGAGCTGCCTGCAACAGACTTGTTGCAAAAAACTTCGAAAGCCTCTTTAAGAGCCTGAAGAAATAAAAGATTAGCATTACAGAAGTGGGGGAGAGGATAATTAACCCCAAAACTTCCAACACAAACCTTGTGGAAAAGAGAATGGTTCTGGAAGCAATTTTGTACATAAGCCAGATACTTGTCGTGCAATTCAATAATTTTTCTGACGAAAACCTAAAATCCAGGAAAATATTACATCATGAGGCATGTTGCATATAGTCACAAATTTTACAATGTTAACATGATACCTTAGAAGTCTCACCTGTTCTTGCAAACCAACCACATCCCTCTTCTCTGCCTGTTGAAGTTCAATCAGAAACACATTTCAGGAATCAAGGAAAGGACAGGAAAAAAATAGATAGCAAGGACTTTCTTCATGATCCAAACTGGATGAAGTAGGTCATGATAAGTAATGAGAAGGGCCAAGGGCAAAAAATTAGAAGCAAACACTGAGAAGAACATATATACAACATGATCAAAGTCAATCGAGTTATTCCCACCAAGAAAAAGACTAACAATGTTAAGTTTAACCCATATATAAAGTCACATAACTAGTGTCCCAGCAAATATTATAGTTTAAGCCAGCAAAAGCATTGTTATATGATTAGCTAACTGGACAACGCATTAGGCCCTTTAGCAACAGAAAATAAGTATACAGGACCAAACATACGGATCTACTATAAGAACATGCTGAAGTTTAGCATACATATGAAGTCACATAACTATCACCCATGCAATATTAGAGTTTCTGCCAGCAAAAGCATTGTAAATGATTAGCTAACTGGACAATTATTCAGCCCTTAGCAACAAGAAATAAGTAAACACTAAACACAACACAGATCTGCCATTACAGCAGCAAAACCATGCTATCGTGTAACCGATCCCATGTGTATATTTTTTTCATAACTTATGCTATGCTCACAAGGTTTTTGCTACAAACCAACATTTACGAAAAATTTGCCAACTAGCTACAGGTTAAGTATTAATTGGTCAAGCAAGTGCTTTTTAGCATCTTGATGATGTGTGTTTGCTTTATTTAAATTCTAGATTTTAATTTCAATCTACACATACAAAATATTATATTGGTCATATTTTACATTACAACTAAAGCAATGTTAACATTTTAGAATCTAGAGGTGTATATTCTGGATTCCATAATGAATACTCCACACATATGTGTGTTCAAATTGAAAATGTGCAAAGGAGTTGTTGGTGAAGTGATAAAGAGGGGGGACAACAAAGGGGAGGCAAGAGTTCCTAGTCTTAGAGGAGGTGTGCAAATGGACCAATTCCTCACTGTAATATCCTTGACTATATTAAAAGAAAAACATATAGTTTAAAAAATTTAAACGCCTAACAAGCGAAAACAAACTTGCTATCACTAACATGTCAGGTTGATGTAAATGGCCTTCCAAGTATCAACTTGTCTCATTGCTTCCCATGTCAAGCTCCAAATATACATGCGCTAACAAACATTTAGCGGTGGCAAAGTTTTGCCCCTCATTTAACATCATTTTACTACTTAGCACAATCTGCTATAATAGATTTTACAAGAAAATTATACATGATCCTTCACTTACAAGGCACATGATCCTCTTACATGTGCAACATTTACAGAAATTGAAAAAATAAGGCACAACTTTTCCTTCAAAAGTAAATAAGAAACAACCAGCAAAAGCATTGTGATATGATTAGCTAACTGGACAACGCATTAGGCCCTTTAGCAACAGAAAATAAGTATACAGGACCAAACATACGGATCTACTATAAGAACATGCTGAAGTTTAGCATACATATGAAGTCACATAACTATCACCCATGCAATATTAGAGTTTCTGCCAGCAAAAGCATTGTAAATGATTAGCTAACTGGACAATTATTCAGCCCTTAGCAACAAGAAATAAGTAAACACTAAACACAACACAGATCTGCCGTTACAGCAGCAAAACCATGCTATCGTGTAACCGATCCCATGTGTATATTTTTTTCATAACTTATGCTATGCTCACAAGGTTTTTGCTACAAACCAACATTTACGAAAAATTTGCCAACTAGCTACAGGTTAAGTATTAATTGGTCAAGCAAGTGCTTTTTAGCATCTTGATGATGTGTTTGCTTTATTTAAATTCTAGATTTTAATTTCAATCTACACATACAAAATATTATATTGGTCATATTTTACATTACAACTAAAGCAATGTTAACATTTTAGAATCTAGAGGTGTATATGTACAATGTGTTTGGAAAGGTATTCATTGAACAGCAGTAATGACCTTCACAATTCTTAGAATGACATATTCGTGCATAAGGTACATACAGCTGAATGAATAGCAAATATATTTCATATATTAACTACTCAAGACTAGGGCTGAGCATAATACGGCTTTGACCAAACAAACAGACCGAACCGCATGATTTTTTATGGTTCGGTGCGGTTGTTACGTACTTTCAGTTTTGTGCGGTGGTTATTTTTGTAAATCGGTGTAATACCGACCCGACCGACTCAGTTTTAAATGCTTGAAAGTCATGCAGTGGCATCTTATTCTAACTCTTTGTGGGACCCACCACAATGCACTCATTACAAGCCCCCCAATTTCGCACCTCTTCTCAACTTTGTGGGCCCATCCACTGCACCTTTTAAAGCCCCAAGTTACGCCTATTCCCATGTTGCAAGCAGTCTTCAGTGATGAACATCCAATGAAGAGAGAGAACAAGCTACCCTTCATCCCTTCTATCAGATATCCAAAGTAAACCCACAGCTATTTCAAAGACACCTATTTCTCTTTCCGGTTCTTGTTCAATCTTTTATTTTCCTTAATCTCAATTCTATCTTTCCCTCTTGTGTTTGCTATGATGGGAAGGTTGTCCCCTTACTGAGTAGCTGGAGTCATTCTCGCCAATTACTAATTGGTGGTGGTTCTTATAGAAACCGAAATAACCAACGAACCGAACCAAAATAATCCAGTTCGGTTTGGTTCGGTTCAATCAGTGATATGGTTCAGTTTCGGTTTGACTAAAAATGGTCTAAACTGACCGAACCGACCATTTGCTCTCCCCTACTCCGTTTGCTCTCCCCTACCAAGACAATAGGTAATGCTGAGAGTTAATACATAAAGATGATCAAGCACACTGCTCCTATAAGCAATTAAATGGTTGGTGTTAATTTGACAGTTTCATGTCCATATAAACAATATGGTCTGCACGTGATACAATTAAAAGAACAGCAGATGTAATTTCATTTGTAAGTACCAATACATAAGCAAGTGATTACTCAAGCCATATTGCTTTAAGTCGTTTAACTCACTCTATATCAGCTATTTTTGGTGGTTAACAAAAAATAAATACTTCGATCTAAAAGAATGAAACCCACATTTCACAATGGTACAGAGCAAAACTAGCTGATATATGAGCAAGTTATTACTCAAGCCACATTGCTTAAAGTTGTTTAACTCACTCTACATCAGCTATTTTTGGTGGTTAACAAAAAAGAATAAAAACAAATACTTTAATCTAAAAGAATGAAACCCACATTTCACTATGGTACAGAGCAAAACTAGACTCCAAATGCCATCATTATTAATGTTTTTTGCTAAATATACCAATAATTTCCTATACAAAATGCAAATGGCAAAAAAGAAGATCATCCAGACAGAACATATAATAATTATAATGCAAAAAATTGAGCAGCACAATAATTTCCTATACAAAATGCAAATGGCAAAAAAGATCATCCAGACAGAACATATAATAATTATAATGCAAACAATTGAGCAGCACTTCATAGTATCAACTTATCTCTTAGAAAGATGGAGAAGGCATACTTTTGGGAATATATGAATGCACAAATTCTTTTCACAATAGGGCAAAAAAGAAAAGCCTAGTAAAAATCTTATAATATAGCACCTTCTTGTTATTAGCTGCATCTTCTGCTTGTTTGACTAAGGCTAGACCTTCAGAAGTAACATGCTGCATCAAGAAGAACATTCAGAAACCAAAACAAAAGCAATGAACAGATCACCTAATTGGATTAATAAGGAAGAAGTTGGACTAGAAAGTACTCGTACTTGTTTGAACATCGTTGAAACAGGATCAAGGCCATGAGGAACCCTACAAAAGAGCCTATACATCCTTGAGAGATCGTCCACCTACAGCATCATGCAATTAGATTGCAAGAAACTAATCGTGCTAGATTTGCAGGAATGAAATTTGTCAAAAACAACTAACTCATACCTTGTCGTCTCGAAGTAATGCATTGCATCCAGAATGCTCTTTTTCGAGAAGTTGGTTGAGATATACAGAGAGTAATTCATGTTGCGCTTTCTACCAAAGTTGCAAAACAAAACCATAGATCATATGTCAAGTCATAAAAGATTCCATCACGATAATAATTAATTACGCACGGGAAGTTGACCATTCGAAATTCACTCATTCTTCCTTCAGTTTTACTAGTACTTATATCATATTTTTAAATTGAGCAAGTAGATATGCATTCCTTCTGAAAAAGCACCATACCTCCAACAACTTTGGTTCACTGCTGGAATGCAAGTAATGTGAAACTCTATCCTTCTCACGCTTAAGGCATTCTTCAGCCTATTAAAAGCCACAAAGACAATTTAGGCAAGGAATCTTCAACTAGAATATACAAACACAAATATGTACTTAGGGATATACATATATAGAGAGAAGTAGAGACCTTCAACATGTAATCTGGACATGTATCCTCTAGGATCCAATTCGTTGCCTTTCGAGAATAATAGGCAGCAGTATCACCCAACATAGCTGCTTCGAAATCATTTTCATAGCACTCCATACTGCCCAAACCAATTTCAACAAATATGCCCAGGACATTTTTTAGCAATGCTCTATCTATTTGTTCACCCTCACGTTCTTGATCAATCTGCTACCAAAATGGGCTTAGCAAACATAACCTAAACAAAAATCAGATCCTCAAATGCTTAATACTCGTGGTTGCATCTACTTACCAAGGAGATCACAGCATCCCTGACTTTAACTTTGATCTCATTAAAAACCTACAATAAAGTGCACAAGTTTTAAAGTGTTTCAGATAAAGAAATAGGCAACTGAAAATTTTGATCACAAAAAGTAACATTTGGGACCAGTACAAAATTATAGATTCATCATTCCTGTTAAAAAACAAAATAATAAATATGTCAACATACCAAATCCCGGAAGCAGGTCAATCCAACTTCATTGAGCGCAGGAAGAGACCTCCGGGCAACGAAATAGCGGTCCAAGTAATGGAAAAAACGAGAAAGCCACCTAACCATGACTTTATGATTCATCCACCTTTGCACTAATTCCCTCAACATAAACTCATCATGCTTCTCTTTTATAGATGGTAATACCTAAGCAAGGAAAATAGGTCTACCTTAAACAGAAGGAAATTATATAGTGAAGTATCCAAGAGTTCTGCATTATAAAGTACTTTACAAAAGCTAGAAAAGGAAAAATAAAGTAATCAAACATGCATAAATAACCTACAAATCCATCAGCAGATAAGTGGGTGCACCACAGGGTACAAAACAATCAACCAACACCAGATATCTGCGGGGTACCACTCAACATGCACTCATGACCAAAGATAGACATGTGAGTCGTATAGTTGTTGTTTAATTCTAAACAGCATTTAACTAGTTTACAAACTTGTACACAAAGCTTAAAACTTCAGTTTTCAACAATCATGCTAAGCTTAAAAAGACCAAGGCAATCTGATTCTTTTCTAGATAGACAGAAGGTTGTTAGTAAAGAAAATGACAAATGGAAGGAGTATTTCAATTGTAAGTTGTAACCTACTCCTTAACGAAAAGGAACCTCCTCTACGAATCCACATTCAGGTACCTCCAAAAGCTAGATGCAATTGCATGCAGAGAGTGATACAACGAGATGCATCCTTCTCTCCTCAACCACTTCCAAGACTAAAAGTGGAAGTTCATGCATCTGAGACCAATCTTTTGTCTGATGAATCATAAAAAATGGAACCATTGAATCTTATTTAATTAATCTATTAAAATGGATGAGCGAATGCAATCTACAGACTACTTCCTGGTATGACCCAAAAGCAGATGGTGGAAAAGATTATCTTGAAGCCTGTCTTAATTTGATGACTTGATTATGTGATACAAAAGATGGTGCCCTTCACTATTAACACAATCAAGGTACTATACAGATACATTTATAACATTTGAACTTTTTTGCTTTTAATCGAAACTGTTTCCTTTGAAAAACCTATAAGAGCAACAACAAAATCTAGGACAGTGACTCAACTGAAATTAGTTCTAATAGATGAAGCAATTACAACAATCGAAAAACCCCTAGTGAATACAAAAGCAAGGAATCTGACCAAGAAAGTAACCCCTAGTGCATAACCAATAAAGATAAACAATAAAAATCAATCATGCACTAGAAATATCTCTTTAACTAGTAGGATTCATTCGGAGGTTGCATTCAAAAGTAAAATTAATATGAGCACCAACAATTTCTATTGTTATTCCCAATCTTTCCGTTGGTTGTTTAGCTGAAAGTTTTCTTTCCACTGATCAAAATATAAGGATATTCAATCAGAAATCAGTGACAACAATCAACACAGTACAATTGCTCACCGTTGTAGTGATGTACTCCTCAAACGACTGCTGATACTTCTCATAAAGCTGTTGCGAGTAATCATGTGGCGGCTTCTGAGTGCACATATTATATATCGTTCTGGTCCAACAAAAAATATAACAAAATCCATCAATTATGAACACAAAAACAAGAAAAAAAACCAAAATAAACCCTTGATCATCAGAAGGTTTGAAAGATAAATCATGCTAGAAGATCATGAAATAGTTGAAACCGAATTGGGGTTAGGGTTAGCATTCAGGCTTAGGGTACAAAAATAAGAAAAACCCCAAAAAAAACCTTCAAAACCCTAAATTGTCAGAACATATCGAAGAGATGTTATATACCGTTCTGCTCCAACAAAAAACAAGTAACAAAATCCATCAATCATGAATACAAAAATAACTTAAAAACCTACAAAGCCCTAAATCATTAGACGATTTGAAAGAGAAATTATGCATAGCGTATCATGAAACGCCCAAAGCCGAATTAGTTCCAGGGTTAGATTCAGCATTAGGGTTAGGGTAAAAAAAAAGGAAAAAATAAAATTAAAAAAAAAACTAAAAACCCTAAATCGCTAGACGATTTCAACAATAACTTACGTATAGAGCATCATGTAATTCTCTGGATCGAATTGGGGCTCAGCGAGCCCTTCCAAGATGTTCTTGAGCTTTGTGATCCCCTTCTGCATAAAAGCCCATCCCTGGTCCAAATCTATCGTCTTCCTCTCTGGCATCGCCATGATCAAACCCTAGGTTCGAACAATGGAGGAAGCTAACCCTAGTTTTCTGAACGATTTCGCGTGGAAATTTGAGGACGTAAAAACCCTAGGTCTTGTATTATGAGAAAAAGACGGGACTTTTTTCGTAGCGTGGATTGAAAAAGTAAAAAAAATAAATAAATTGGGAAAAGCGTTCTTTAAATGGGTATATATAGGGGGAGAGAGGCGGGGTTAAAGATATAGTAGTTAAATTAATGGATAGATAATCATTGATTAAGTTAAGTTAATTGATGCGCAGATTAGTTAATTTTTACTTTTCCCTTTTTATATACAGAGTTTTAATTTTTTACTTGTTTCTAGAATAAATAAAAGACTATTTATATATAAGGAAACTTCTCTTATGAGAAGTCTTCTTATTTAAAATTACGAGCTTTGAAAACGGAAAGCGAGGATGTACTACGAAATATTATATTTTGTATAAAGATATTAAATTTGAAAAGAACATAAGGCAGTGTTTAATTCCCTGTGAGAAATTTCCTAGGATTTCATCAAGTCTCGTGTTCGGTTTATCCAAAATTAAAACACATGTATGATTTAGGATTTCCCTCTAAATCCCAAAATATTTAGTATGAAGTTTTGTCATCCCCTAGAATTAAGGAAATGAGACTTCATATGACCATTACACCCTCCAAGATTATACCTTCCTCATGCCAATGATATAAATATAATATTATAATATTACATGTTAAGTTAGGTGGCCATTTGTAATTTTAAGAATATTTTCCGGTGCTATTTATAAATTTATAAACTTTCAAATGAATTGTTTGTGATTTTTGAAGCTGCTAGGGGTTGCTTGTAATTTTTTAATATTGTGAGGGTTATTCATAATTTTTTAAAACTTTCAAGGGGATGGTTGTAAAGTTTTCCAATAGTTGTTTATAGAATTCTCATAGGGTTATTTATAATTTTCAAAACATGTAAGGGGCTTTTAGTAAATTCTTTGAAGAGTATTTGTAATTTAGAAACTCTCAGGGGGTTGTTTATAAATTTTCAAGGAGTTACTTATAATATTCCAAAATTGTCAGCAGGGTATTTGTTATTTTACAACTTTTACCGGGCTAATCGTAAAAGTTTTAAAGGGTTGTTTGTATAATTTTTAAAGGGTAATCTGATTATTCATTTTTTCAATGGGTTGTTTATAATTTATGTATTTTTAGAGGACTATTTGTAATTTTTATATTTTCTTAGGATTGTTGGTAATTTTTGAATTTAAAGGGTCAGTTTATAATCTTTTGAATTTTATGGTGTTATTTATAATTTTTGAATTTTTCAAGGGTTTGTTTTTTGTTAGGTCTCATGTTTATAAGCCTACTGTCTAATCTAGTTTTGATAATTAACAAACAATTTCTAACATCGTGTGTCGAGTGTTTGCATTTGTTTTGTTGGGTAATCTACACAAATATCCTTTGTTGGAGGTTGGATGGATTTACGCGTTCATGATGATATTCAAAGGAGGTTGGAAGGAAAAACGGAATGAAGTCATCGTAATTGAAGCCATGATTCATCATCGCTTCATCTCGCTACCAAAATCGAGCTCAAACGAAGAATTCTTGTCTTGGGTATATTTTTTGTAGTTTAGGAGTTTACTTTGTGTGTTATGCTTAAAGCTCAAATTTCACACACACACGCTGTTTTGTTTTATGGCTTTCATTGGTTGTTTCACTTTGCAAAAAGATATGTTTAGCCATACAAATATTTTAAAAGATGAGTTTTAGCCATATAAATATGAAACAAATAAATATATGTGTATTCTTGCACATATGTTTCATATTTATCGCATTATACAACATTTTGAGAAAATAACATGTTTGTCGTTTTGAGAAAATAGCGTGTTTGTGGATTATTGACTTAGTGATACTATTTTACATCTTTTCATAAGTCTATAAATCAATTCAAAAGAAGTTTCAAACTTGTTTGAAATCATTTTGTCCAAAATCAAGTGTTTTGAGTTTTCGTATTTTGACTGATTTTGCAAAATAATAAATTTTCACAAACGGGAAATGATATTTGAAAATTTTCTTTTGTAACATGTTTATTTTCATGTTTATAAATATTTTTCCAAATTTTATAATTTTTAAAATTTATTTGCTATTTTTTAAAGTTTTTTGAAAAACAATTTTACTATGCAAAATTGTCCTTGTGCATGCTTTCAGTCGACTGAAGAAACCCGCTAGAATTGCCATTTGTTTCTGCTCAGTCGAATGATCCACATCAGTCGACCGAAGCAGCTCATCAGTCGATTGATGGTGCGATCAGTCGACCGATGATGTTTGAGCGGCAGCCAACGGTCAACTCATCAATCGACTGAACAGTGTATCAGTTGATTGTCGGCTACTATAACGGTTAGTTTTCACTTTCCTGGTTTTTAGGGATTTTGATGTTTTTGTTAGAGTTTTCTGGGTTTTTGGGGTTTGTTCTTGGAACCTATATATACCCCTTAGCCTCAACATTCTGATTGATCCAAGAAAAGTTTAAAAACAAGTTTTCGCAAGTTTGTTTAAAGGTTTTAAGTATATTGTTTATGTGAACAGAGTTTCACAAGAAGATGAGATAATTTCGGTTTGAGCTTCAATTTCATATCACGTGTATTGCACGTGCATAAGAACTAGTTAAATAAAAGATCAGAGTCATTTGTTTTCTTATTACTAGATTTTATGCACGTGCAATGCACGTGGTTAAATACTATGATTAGGTATTTTTGGTTTATTTTATTACTAAAAATTGTTCATTGGTTACTCTTTGATAAATTTTACTCACTTTGATTAAGTATTTTTGGTTTATTTCCTTATTAAAATTTATTACTCGATTACACTTTGATTATTTACTTATTTGATATTTGTTTGAATAGGCTACACCCAACTTAAATTTTTATATTGATAGTTGAATTTTCATGAGATAAATATAATCTAAAACTAATTTAAATTTAAATTTTATTTGGATCGGCATAAAACCGAGCTTGACCTGAGGAAGTATAGTGTTATGAAAGTGAAAACACTTGAAAAAATAATATTATAAAAGGAAGATGAATAATAAAGCCAACGAGCTAAGATGATTGATTTGAAGTGGGCTAAAATGACAGAAAATAGTTAATAAAAAAATCATAATCTAAAGATTAATTCTAACTCTAGTACACTTTTATATGATAAAAACATCCACATATGCATATGAAAGCACTAAAAATAGTTTATAAAAATCCCTTCTAAAGATTCCTAATTTTACTAAAAAAAATAAAACTATAACAATTCACAAAACATTATCTTTTCTTGCTTCTATTTTATTTTTTATTAAGTCGAGATCAATCCTTCTTCATCTTTATCTTTTTCTTTGGCAATTCTAGAGTAGTGCATTCATTGTCTACATCGATTGTGATATGAGACTGAAGCATGTTATCTTTCATTGGGCTCATTCATATATATAATTTTTTGTGCTTTTAATTTATTACTTAAATAAAGTTAGGAGCTACCTCTTTTTCTCTGCAATGATTTTTTCTGTTGTGCATCCAATAAGAATTTCTGCTGTGTCATAATGTTACTTTTGCTCTGTCTGTGTCATTTTTCATGAAGATTTGAACTAAGTACAATATATTTTTCATTGTTAATTTGCTTTAGATTATAATATGAATATTTAATTTTGATATATTTATTTTATGAAGAAGGGGTATGACCTAACCTTAGTACTACATCATCAGCGATTCTATAATATTTATCATCTCGATACTTATTATTAACATCTTCATCCACTTTCTTGTTGTAGCCTTTGCAAACATAGAACCACTGTTCAACTCTATTATAAATGGTAGCTATCGTTAGCTTAAAGGTGCGATAGTGTGTCTGTATATTGGTAAATTATTCTTAGATTTAATTGTATGAATTTTAGAGTGAGTTTTCTAAGATCATACCTCTTTCAAATATTATAATGGTTGTATATATTAGTAATTTGAATTTCTGTTGTATTTATAAAGAGCCTTAATAGAGATACTTTTGTTTTGGTAGCATACTCTAAAAGAACGCTGCATATACACTACAAGAAATTACGTCTTTAACGAAGGGATTTTCTTTCGTTAAAGACCTGAAAACCTTCGTTATTGTATGCTAACGACGGTGAAAAATCCCTTCGTCACTCGTCGTTGAAGTCTTCTTCACTAAAGGATCATGAAGGGATATACTACCCTTCGTTATAGAGTCTATAACGACGGAACATATTACCGTCGTTAATATTTACGACGGTAATTATCACCATCGTCGTTATAGAGTCTATAACGACGGAACATATTACCGTCGTTAATATTTACGACGGTAATTATCACCATCGTTACCATCAGTGACGGGGATATTTTCCATATTACCGTCGTTAATATTTACGACGGTAATTATCACCATCGTTACCATCAGTGACGGGGATATTTTCCCGTCGTTACCATCAATGACGGGAATATTTTCTCATCGTTACCATTAGTGACGGTATATTTTCCCGTCGTTACCATTAATTACGGGGATATTTTCCCGTCGTTGAAGGCCAATTAATGACGGTTGAATACCTTCGTAAAAGTCCTCATTGTGGGTAATTAGTAACTCATCAACGATGGTGCTTTCCCTTCGTTGATGAACAAAATGCGATTTATAAAACCGTCATTATAGACTACAAATTTCTAATATATATTAATGATACTTGGAGATTCATAGGTAACTATCATATTATCCTCAACATGACACTAAGATTCACAATACAAATATATTAAAAATACCCAATAATGAATAAAAGAGAAATAAAAAAACTCCATTCATTAATAACTTCACTAAATAAAATTTCATCATCCTCAAATATTCAATATTAATAACAAGTGTTAATATCCCAATTGTTCCAAAGGAAAATATGTGAAACTATCTAAAACAAATTAAAATTAATAACAAGTGTTAATATCCCAATTGTTCCAAAGGAAAATATGTGAAACTATCTAAAACAAATTAAAATAGAAGTCTGGGAAAGACACGTCCTTTCTTCCAAAGGAAAATATGTGAAACTATCTAAAACAAATTAAAATAGAAGTCTGGGAAAGACACGTCCTTTTATCTATAATCATCGTCAAAATAAGCCCCCCAATCTTGCATGGATA